GCTTGGATGAAGTAGTCTATAGATGTCAGTTATATCCAGTTGGTTGATGACATTGAATTGAATTCACTTATGTCTTTACTAATTTTCACCTATGTCCTAACCTTCCATATCTTTCCTTTCCTTTCCTTTTTTTTTTTTTTTTTTTTTTTGAGACAGTGTCTCGCTCTGTCACTAGGTTGGAGTGCAGTGGCATGATCTTGGCTCACTGCAGTCTCTGCCTCTTGGGTTCGAGTGATTCTTCTGCCTCAGCCACCTGAGTAGCTGGGACTGCAGGTGTGCACCATCATGCCCAGCTAATTTTTGTATTTTTAGTAGAGATGGGTTTCACCATGTTGATCAGGATGATCTCAATCTCTTGACCTCATGTTCTCCCTGCCTTGGCTTCACAAAGTACTGAGATTACAGACATGAGCCACTGCACCTGGCCATATCTTTCCATTTCTGATAGACAGTTGTTGAAACTGAAATATAAAATCATAATAGTGGATTCATCTATTTTTCCTTGCAGTTCTGTCGGTTTTTGCCTTAAGTATTTTGACACTTTGTTGTCAGGTGCATACATTTTAACAAGTGTTATGTCATTTTGGAGACTTGATCTATTATTAATCATTATGTAATACCCCTCTTTATCCTTGATAACTTTTCTAGCTCTGACTTTTCTAGTTCTACCTGCAATTAGCATAGCTACTCTTGCTTTCCTTTGATTGATATTAGCATGATATCGATTTACTTTTAATCTACATGTGTCTTTACATTTAAAGTATGTTTTAAAAATCATTCTCACAATCTTTTAATTGGTGCATTTAAGACCACTGACATTCAACATGATTATTGATATAGTTAGATTAGTATCTACCATATTCATTACCATTTTTGTATTTGTTGTCTTTGTTCTTTGTTCCTATTTTTGTCTTCTTTTTCTGCCTTCTGTGGTTTTAATTGAGCATTTTATGTGATTTATTTTTCTTTTCTTAGCATATTCATTTTACTTCTTTTTTTTCACTGGTTGCCCTAGAGTTTGCAATACGCATTTACAACTAATCCAAGCTCACTTTCAAATTCTGCTATACTACTTCACAGGCAGTTTATTTACCTTATAATAACAAAATAATCCTAATTTTTCCTTCCCATTGCTTGCATCATTACTGTAATTCACACCACTTATACATAAGCATATATAATATATCTTCGTAAGCATGAGTAATGGAAGAGCATTATTGCTTTTTTTTTTTTTTTTTGAGATGGAGTTTTGCTCTTGTTGCCCAGGTTGGAGTGCAATGGTGCGATCTTGGCTCACTGCAACCTCTGTCGCTGGGGTTCAAGTGATTCTCCTGCCTCAGCTTCCCAAGTAGCTGGGATTACAGGCATTCAACACCACATCTGGCTAATTTTGTATTTTTAGTAGAGATGGGGTTTCTCCATGTTGGTCAGGCTGGTCTGAAACTCCTGACCTCAGGTGATCCACCTGCCTTGGCTTCCCCAAGTGCTGGGATTACAGGCATGAGCCACTGTGCCTGGCCCCACATTATTGCTTTTATTACTTTTAACAAACTATCAATTAAGAATAAGAAAAATACAAGTTTTGGCTAGGTGCAGTGGCTCACGCCTATAATCCCAGCACTTTGGGAGGCCGAGGCGGGTGGATCACAAGGTCAAGAGATCAAGATCATCCTGGTCAACAAGGTGAAACCCCTTCTCTACTAAAAATACAAAAATTAGCTGGGCGTGGTGGTGCGCACCAGCTACTCAGGAGGCTGAGACAGGAGAATTGCTTGAACCCAGAAGGCGGAGGTTGCGGTGAGCCAAGATTGTGCCATTGCACTCCAGTCTGGGTAACAACAGCGAAACTTCATCTCAAAAAAAAAAAAAAAAAGAGAGAAATACAAGTTTTTATTTTACCATTACTTATTTATTCTCTGATGCTCCTCCCTTCTTTTTGTAGTCTAAATTTCTGACCTATATCATTTTCCTTTTTTCTGACGAATTTCTTTTAACATTTCTCAAAAGGCAGATCTACTGGCAATAAATTTCCTCAATTTTGAGAAAGCATTTCTTCTTCACTTTCAAAGCATACCATTATAGAGTATAGAATTCTAGGTGGGTGGGTTTTTTTCCCTCAGTATTTCAGTCTGTTTCTTGTATGTGTTGCAAATGTATTTCTTTTCTTTATTCTTCATGTTCTTTTTTTTTTTTTTGACAGAATCTTGCTCTGTTGCCCAGGCTGGACTGCAGTGGCACAGTCTCAGCTCACTGTAACCTCCACCTCCTGGGTTCAAGTGATTCTCTTGCCTCAGCCTCCTGAGTAGCTGAGATTACAGGTGTGCGCCACCACACCCAGCTAATTTTTGTAGTTTTTTGTAGAGACGGGGTTTCACCATGTTGGCCAGGATGGTCTCAATTTTTTGATCTCATGATCTGCCTGCCCCAGCCTCCCAAAGTGCCGGGATTATAAGCTTGAGTCCAGCCATCTTCCTGGGCATTTTCCCTGAGTCTGTCCCTCATGGTATATCATGGTGAGAAACAAGAGCCATAGGCAGGCTCCCAGCTGGCATGGTTTGCCTTTTGAAAACACTTCTGTTATGATTCTGCTCATGGAAGCAGCTTCCATTTATAAGAAAGGGCAACTCTGCATAGTAAGCTGCATTGGAATAATCAAGTGTTTCCTAATAGGCCTGATAAGGTTCAATTTTTACCTTAAGAATGGAGATGATACTAACTTCTCTGCCTTACAGGACAATTGTTAGACTCAGCAATATTATTATGATGATAATAATAATGATGATGCTAGTGATGATGATGATGTTGGTGATTGTGATGATGCTGGTGACAGTGATGATGCTAGGGATGGCAATGGTGTTGGTGATGAGGCTGGGGATGGTGATGATGCTGGTGATGGTGATGATGCTGGGGATGGTGATGATGTTGGTGATGGCAATGATGCTCAGGATGGGGATGGTGATGGTGATAATGATGATGCTGGGGATGGTGATGGTGTTGGTGATGGTGAGGATGCTGGTGATGGTTATGATGTTGTTGATAGTGATGGTGTTGCTTATGGTGATGGTGTTGCTGATAGTGATGATATTGATGAGGATAATGTTTCTCAGCAACAATGCAATGATGGAAGCACCATTTATGGGGTAGATATGATGTGATAGGGGGTGCAGTAAGCTTTGTGCAGGCATGGTCTCATTTCATTCCCACAACAGTACTTGGGAATGAATAAAAAGCAGGCATTAATGTCTCACTATTTCAGATGAAGACAGTAGGCCCAAAGATCTGAGCAGTATGTCTGGAGTCACCTTGCAACTGGGATGACAGCAAGTGCAAGGCAAGTAGGGTGGTGAGAGCAATCGAGATGGGAAAGTTCTAGCAGATGTGACATTGTCCTCCAGGTGGGTCATGGAAACCACATAGGAAGCTCCGGCTGCCTGCTGGTCCACCTGCTGAGGCCTCACTCTTGTCTGAATGTCTCCAGAAGCAGTGATTCTTCTGGGCAGAGAAAGAGAGAAGCTCGGGCGCTGTGGATGGCTGTGGCTTCCCTCATGAATTTGCCACTTGCGGTCTGAATGCATTTTGTGCAGATAGTGTAGAGTGTAATTGAGCCCAGCAGAAACCCAGGCAGAGTTCATGAGCCCCCCAATAGGTTCTGACCCCACAATATTGTTGCTCTTGGTCAACATGCTGTCTGTCACCACGAGGAGAACTCTGCAAAGTTGGCTGTGGTTTATTTATTGTTGGAGCCCTCAGTGCATGGCAGCTCAGTGCTGGCTCAGGGCAGCACCCAAAAGAGAGAGGCGGGGTTATATTCCCATAGGAGCCCAGCTGCCCTCACCTTTTGTGTGGTGTGGATGATGGTTTTGAAGAGGCTCCTGTGAAAAGCAGGAGGAACTTGGTTCACCTAGCAGGAGAGGCCACAAGAGCCCAGGATCTGCACTCTCCTGGAGAAGGTGCTACCTGGAAATTCAGTTGCCTGTCTGGTCCTCCCCTTGACACTTGAAGAAGCTGTGCCAGAGTCTCATGTCTCCTCCATGTCTCCACTGGTAACATGGGCATGATTCCCTTCTTTGACTCATGGAAACAGGTTGCTAGGTCGTCTGATGCAGATTAAGGAATGAGTCTCAGGAGCTCCAATTTTTGCTTTCAATTGGTTCAGCCCCTCACTCACTGCCTCTCCTCTGTCCCTTCCAGAGCTGCTCCAGTACTGCGTGCAGTGTTGTCTATGAAGCCCTTGCCTGACTGCTTCAGTCCTCCCCAGGCTTCTGCAGTGACACCCTCCATAGTCCCAGGAGGACACATGGAAGGAGCCAGAAAACAAAATGGCCTGGTGGCTGCTCATATAGTTCTAGTCATGACCTGTAATGGAACTCAGGAACGGCCTGGACACTGCGGGGGAGACAGGGCACGTTATTTTGGTGAATAAATAGCCTGGAGGCTGACTCATCAGGGAACAAGGTCCAGTTTCTCAATCATGACCCTGCTGATGGATGTGCTGGGGCCCCCTTAGTCCTTGGGTCCTCAGACCTTGCTCTCTGCAGCTCTCCACTGCTCCCCATGAGAGCAAAGAAGAAACCCTGGCTGAATCCTGGCTCCTCCTGTGCTGTCCAGGACTACAGGGACAGGTTCAGTGGGTAGCTCAGGGTCTGGTGGTCAGCTGTGTTCAGTCTCTGAAAGCCCTGCTTTCTAAAAAGCACCAGGGGTTGCCACTTGTGCTTTATTAAGTGATCAAACCTGAAAGATAGGGCTTAGTAATGCTGTCTTGATCCAAAAATGAGTTCTACACTTATTACTAGTTTTACTGTAAAAGGAAGGAGGAGGTAGTTTTGTCTAGAATATGCTCTTTGTGGGTAGCATATGAAAATGTCTGTAACCATGGCTTTGCTACTAAGATGAACAGAACAGCAAGGGTTCGATGGTCACAAACAAGCTTCTCCAACAATATTCCATTTATTTCTCACAACTATGCTGAGAATTTTATAATTTGATTTTCTGTTTCTCAGTTGCAGAAATTAAGAGAACGTCTATGACTTGTCCCAGGGGTCACAGTCACAGATTGCAGAACTGGAACTTGAGCCCAGGTCAACTACCAGAAAATTCCTGCTTGGGCCATGCGCATGTTTTCCAACCTTGTTTACTGGAGGACCTTCTTTCTGCATCACTGTGGCTACATGGACGGGGCTAAGGTTGGTGGTCACCCTGTAACCCAAGCCCACCATACCTCCCCATCAAAGCGCGACCCACCTTGGCCTCATTCTGCAAACCGGAAGAGTCCCTTATATTGAGTATCAAGCAAAAATAAAATCCCAAGTTCTTCAATTGACTGAACTTAACTCCCTCTGGGCCAAGAAGAACTTGAAAAACTGAATTCCTGGCCATTACAGGAAGAGAAGCTGGGCACACCTCATTGTACCCCCTCTCTTTTGGAGTTTAGGCACAACTGGCCAGCATTAACATTAAAATAGAGATCAATAAGAATGAAAGAAAGAGTTTTTTTGGCAATGAGATGCCAAACTCCAACCTGATTGTTACACAGCATCACATGGCAGATGGCAGACCCTGAAAGAAATAAAAGTATTTTACCCTAAAATGTACTTCTTTTTTTTTTTTTTTTGAGATGGAGTTGTGCTCTGTCACCCAGGCTGCAGTGCAGTGGCACAATCTGGGCTCACTGCAACCTCTACCTCCAGGTTCAAGCGATCCTCCTGCCTCTGCCTCCTGAGTAGCTGGGACTATAGATGCATGCCACCACACCCAGCTAATTTTTTGTATTTTTGGTAGAGACAGAGTTTCATCATGTTAGCCAGGATGGTTTCCATCTCCTGACCTCATGATCTGCCCACCTCGGCCTCCCAAAGTGCTGGGATTACAGGTATGAGCCACCGTGCACATGGCCAACTTCTTTAATGTATTTTGAAATGGCCAAGCAAAGCTGTCTTTTGTGGGAGAAATTTTCATCTGTAGAGACTCTCCATTCACGCAGCCAGGCCTCCCTCTCTAGACCTTTCCCAAATCTAGGCAAGATTAACTGAGAGCCTGACACCTCTAAGATCTGAAAAAAGACATTCACGATCTATTCTCTCTGGGGCTGCTACCTATGAGATTTCATCTATGTCACAAGAACCTTGGCCCCACAACCCCCTTACTTTAACTCAAGCATTTCTTCCTACTGACTTCAAGTCTTCAAACAAAGCTTAAGTCTTTCAACCGACTGCCAATGAGAAAAATCTTTAAATCCACCCTACTTCAAGATTTCTCACCTTCTCAGGTTGAACCAATGGCCACTTTCCATATTTTCTTTTATGATATTACCTACAGTCCTGTCACTCTAAAATGTATAAAGTCAAACTGTAACCCAACCACCTTGGGCACATTTTCTCAGGATCTCTTGAGACTATACCTTGGGCCATGGTCTCTCACATTGGCTCAAGATAAACCTCTTTAAAGTATTTTACAGAGTTTGTTTTTTCCATTAGCAGGGATGAAGATCCCATCTTCATTGATCATTTCAGTCTTTCATTTCTTTATCTCTACCCACTAAGAAGCAAAGAAAAAATTCCTACATCATATCTGTAATTTAGTGTACACTTTAAAAGGTGATAATTTATATGAAATAAATGTTCTATAAAGCTACATATTAACATGATAAAAGTGGTGAGAGAAGTAGGCTTATTGGAAAAATTTTATTCTATTTGATATCTAAATTTTTTATATTTTCGGAATGAGGATGTATATTTCTTTTTTTTTTTTTTTTACTATTGCAAAAGTATTGCTTTATTTTCTGGGAGTTTTCTTTTAAAATGTTGAACTCCCCAACTGTGTTTTTCCTTTTTTTTTTTTTCTTTTTTTGAGACGGAGTTTCGCTGTGGTTACCCAGGCTGGAGTGCAATGGCGCAATCTCGGCTCACCGCAACCTCTGCCCCCTGGGTTCAGGCAATTCTCCTGCCTCAGCCTCCTGAGTAGCTGGGATTACAGGCACGCGCCACCGTGCCCAGCTAATTTTTTTGTAATTTTTTAGTAGAGACGGGGTTTCACCATGTTGACCAGGATGGTCTCGATCTGTTGACCTCGTGATCCACCCGCCTCGGCCTCCCAAAGTGCTGGGATTACAGGCTTCAGCCACCGCGCCCGGCCCATTTTTTTTTTTTTTTATTGCATTTTAGGTTTTGGGGTACATGTGCAGAGCATGCAATACAGTTGCATAGGTACACACATTGCAGTGTGTTTTGTTTGCTTTCTCCCCTTCACCCACATTTGGTATTTCTCCCCTGGCAATCCCTCCCCACCTCCCCCTCCCACTGGCACTCCCCTTTTCCCCCCAATAGACCCCAGTGTTTAGTACTCCCCTTTCTGTGTCCATGTGTTCTCATTTTTCATCACCCGCCTATGAGTGAGAATATGCGGTGTTTCATTTTCTGTTCTTGTGTCAGTTTGCTGAGAATGATGTTCTCCAGATTCATCCATGTCCCTACAAACGACACAAACTCATCATTTCTGATTGCTGCATAATATTCCATGGTGTATATGTGCCACATTTTCCCAATCCAATCTATCATCGATGGGCATTTGGGTTGATTCCAGGTCTTTGCTATTGTAAACAGTGCTGCAGTGAACATTCGTGTGCATGTGTCCTTGTAGTAGAACGATTTATAGACCTTTGGATATATGCCCAGTAATGGGATTGCTGGGTCAAATGGAATTTCTATTTCTAAGGCCTTGAGGAATCGCCACACTGTCTTCCACAATGGTTGAACTAATTTACACTCCCACCAACAGTGTAAGAGTGTTCCTTTTTCTCCACATCCTCTCCAGCATCTGTTGTCTCCAGATTTTTTAATGATCGCCATTCTAACTGGCGTGAGATGGTATCTCAATGTGGTTTTGATTTGCATCTCTCTGATGACCAGTGACGATGAGCATTTTTTCATATGATTGTTGGCCTCATATATGTCTTCTTTCGTAAAGTGTCTGTTCATATCCTTTGCCCACTTTTGAATAGGCTTGTTTGTTTTTTTCCTGTAAATCTGTTTGAGTTCTTTGTAGATTCTGGATATCAACGCTTTGTCAGATGGGTAAACTGCAAAAATTTTTTCCCATTCTGTTGGTTGCCGATTCACACTAGAGACTGTTTCTTTTGCTGTGGAGAAGCTGTGGAGTTTCATTATGTCCCATTTGTCTATTTTGGCTTTTGTTGCCAATGCTTTTGGTGTTTTGTTCATGAAGTCCTTGCCTACTCCTATGTCCTGGATAGTTTTGCCTAGATTTCCTTCTAGGGTTTTTATGGTGCCAGGTCTTATGTTTAAGTCTTTAATCCATCTGGAGTTAATTTTGGTGTAAGGTGTCAGGAAGGGGTCCAGTTTCTGCTTTCTACACATGGCTAGCCAGTTTTCCCGGCACCATTTGTTGAACAGGGAATCCTTTCCCCATTGCTTGTTTTTGTCAGGTTTATCAAAGATTGTATGGTTGTAGCTATGTTGTGTTGCCTCTGATGCCTCTGTTCTGTTCCATTGGTCTATATCTCTGTTTTGGTACCAGTACCATGCTGTTTTGATTACTGTAGCCTTATAGTATAGTTTGAAATCCGGTAGTGTGATGCCCCCCGCTGTGTTCTTTTTGCTTAGAATTGACTTGGCTATGCGGGCTCTCTTTTGGTTCCATATGAAGTTCAAGGTGGTTTTTTCCAGTTCTGTGAAGAAAGTCAATGGTATCTTGATGGGGATAGCGTTGATTCTGTAAATTACTTTGGGCAGTATAGCTATTTTCACGATATTAATTCTTCCTAACCATGAACATGGAATGTTTCTCCATCTGTTTGTGTCCTCTCTGATTTCGTTGAGCAGTGGTTTGTAGTTTTCCCTGAAGAGGTCCCTTACGATCCTTGTGAGTTGTATTCCAAGGTATTTTATTCTTTTTGTAGCAATTGTGAATGGCAGTTTGTTCTTGATTTGGCTCTTTTTAAGTCTGTTATTGGTGTAGAGGAAGGCTTGTGATTTTTGGACATTGATTTTATATCCTGAGACTTTGCTGAAGCTGTTTATCAGTTTCAGGAGTTTTTGGGCTGAGGCGATGGGGTCTTCTAGGTTTACTATCATGTCGTCTGCAAATAGAGACAATTTGGCTTCCACCTTTCCTATTTGAATACCCTTTATTTCTTTTTCTTGCCTGATTGCTGTGGCTAGAACTTCCAGTACTATATTGAATAGGAGTGGTGAAAGAGGGCATCCTTGTCTAGTGCCAGATTTCAAAGGGAATGCTTCCAGTTTTTGCCCATTCAGTATGATATTGGCTGTTGGTTTGTCATAAATAGCTTTTATTACTTTGAGATATGTTCCATCGATACCGAGTTTATTGAGGGTTTTTAGCATAAAGGGCTGTTGAATTTTGTCAAATGCCTTCTCTGCATCAATTGAGATAATCATGTGGTTTTTGTTTTTGGTTCTGTTTATGTGGTGAATTACGCTGATAGACTTGCGTATGTTGAACCAGCCTTGCATCCCCGGTATGAATCCTACTTGATCATGATGAATAAGTTTTTTGATTTGCTGTTGCAATCGGCTTGCCAATATTTTATTGAAGATTTTTGCATCTATGTTCATCATGGATATTGGCCTGAAGTTTTCTTTTCTTGTTGGGTCTCTGCCGGGTTTTGGTATCAGGGTGATATTGGTCTCGTAGAATGATTTGGGTAGGATTCCCTCTTTTTGGATTATTTGGAATCGTTTCAGAAGGAATGGTACCAGCTCCTCTTTGTGTGTCTGGTAGAATTCGGCTGTGAACCCGTCTGGACCTGGGCTTTTTTTGTGTGGTAGGCTCTTAATTGCTGCCTCGACTTCTGCCCTTGTTATTGGTCTATTCATAGTTTCAGCTTCCTCCTGGTTTAGGCTTGGGAGGACACAGGAGTCCAGGAATTTATCCATTTCTTCCAGGTTTACTAGTTTATGTGCATAGAGTTGTTTGTAATATTCTCTGATGATGGTTTGAATTTCTGTGGAATCTCTGGTGATTTCCCCTTTATCATTTTTTATTGCATCTATTTGGTTGTTCTCTCTTTTCTTTTTAATCAATCTGGCTAGTGGTCTGTCTATTTTGCTGATCTTTTCAAAAAACCAGCTCTTGGATTTATTGATTTTTGGAGGGTTTTTCGTGTCTCAATCTCCTTCAGTTCAGCTCTGATCTTAGTTATTTCTTGTCTTCTGCTAGGTTTTGAGTTTTTTTTGATCTTGCTCCTCTAGCTCTTTCAATTTTGACGATAGGGTGTCAATTTTGGATCTCTCCATTCTTCTCATATGGGCACTTATTGCTATATACTTTCCTCTAGAGACTGCTTTAAATGTGTCCCAGAGATTCTGGCATGTTGTGTCTTTGTTCTCATTGGTTTCGAAGAACTTCTTTATTTCTGCCTTCATTTCGTTGTTTATCCAGTCAACATTCAGGAGCCAGTTGTTCAGTTTTCATGAAGCTGTGCGGTTCTGGGTCCGTTTCTGAATTCTGAGTTCTAACTTGATTGCACTATGGTCTGAGAGGCTGTTATGATTTCAGTTGTTTTGCATTTGCTGAGGAGTGCTTTACTTCCAATTATGTGGTCAATTTTAGAGTAGGTATGATGTGGTGCTGAGAAGAATGTATATTCTGTGTATTTGGGGTGGAGAGTTCTGTAAATGTCTATCAGGTTTGCTTGCTCCAGGTCTGAGTTCAAGCCCTGGATATCCTTGTTGATTTTCTGTCTGGTTGATCTGTCTAATATTGACAGTGGAGTGTTAAAGTCTCCAACTATTATTGTGTGGGAGTCTAAGTCTCTTTGTAAGTCAACTTGCCTTATATATCTGGGTGCTCCTGTATTGGGTCAATATATGTTTAGGATCGTTAGCTCTTCTTGTTGTATCTATCCTTTTACCATTATGTAATGGCCTTCTTTGTCTCTTTTGATCTTTGTTGCTTTAAAGTCTATTTTATCAGAGATGAGAATTGCAACTCCTGCTTTCTTTTGCTCTCCATTTGCTTGGTAAATCTTCCTCCATCCCTTTATTTTGAGCCTTTGTGTATCCTTGCATGTGAGATGGGTTTCCTGGATACAGCACACTGCTGGGTTTTGGCTTTTTATCCAATTTGCCAGTCTGTGTCTTTTGATTGGTGCATTCAGTCCATTTACATTTAGGGTTAATATTGTTATGTGTGAATTTGACACTGCCATTTTGATGCTAGCTGGCTGTTTTGCCCGTTAGTTGTTGTAGATTCTTCATTATGTTGATGCTCTTTAGCATTTAGTGTGATTTTGGAATGGCTGGTACTGGTTGTTCCTTTCTATGTGTAGTGCCTCTTTCAGGAGCTCTTGTAAAGCACGCCTGGTAGTGACAAAATCTCTGAGTACTTGCTTGTTCGCAAAGGATTTTATTTTTCCTTCACTTCTGAAGCTCAGTTTGGCTGGATATGAAATTCTGGGTTGAAAGTTCTTTTCTTTAAGGATGTTGAATATTGGCCCCCACTCTCTTCTGGCTTGTAGAGTCTCTGCCGAGAGATCTGCTGTGAGTCTGATGGGCTTCCCTTTGTGGGTGACCCGACCTTTCTCTCTGGCTGCCCTTAGTATTTTCTCCTTTATTTCAACCTTGTTGAATCTGACGATTATGTGCCTTGGGGTTGCTCTTCTTGTGGAATATCTCTGTGGTGTTCTCTGTATTTCCTGCAATAGAGTGTTGGCCTGTCTTGCTAGGTGGGGGAAATTTTCCTGGATAATGTCCTGCAGAGTATTTTCCAGCTTGGATTCATTCTCTTCATCACATTCTGGTATGCCTATCAAACGTAGGTTAGGTCTCTTCACATAGTCCCACATTTCTTGGAGACTTTGTTCATTCCTTTTTGCGCTTTTTTCTCTAATCTTGGTTTCTCGTTTTATTTCATTGAGTTGATCCTGGACTTTTGATATTCTTTCTTCTGCTTGGTCAATTCGGCTATTGAAACTTGTGCATGTTTCGCGAAGTTCTCGTATTGTGTTTTTCAGCTCCTTTAATTCATTCATATTCGTCTCTAAGGTATCCATTCTTGTTATCATTTCCTCAAATCTTTTTTCAAGGTTCTTAGTTTCTTTGCATTGATTTAAAACATGTTCTTTTAGCTCACAAAAGTTTCTCATTATCCACCTTCTGAAGTCTAATTCCATCATTTCATCACAGTCGTTCTCCGTCCAGCTTTGTTCCCTTGCTGGTGAGGAGTTTTGGTCCTTTCTAGGTGGCGAGGTGTTCTGGTTTCGGGTGTTTTTCTCCTTTTTGCGCTGATTTCTTCCCATCTTTGTGGATTTATCCACCTGTCGTCTGTGTAGTTGCTGAGTTTTTTATTGGATCTCTGAGTGGACACCCAGATTGTTGATGATGGAGTATTTCTGTTACTTGGTTTTCCTTCTACCAGTCTAGCCCCTTCGCTGTACGACTGCTGAGGTCCACTCCAGGCCCTGCTTGTCTGGGTTGCACCTGTAGCGGCTGCGGAACAGCGAGGAATGCTACCAGTTTCTTTTTCTGCTATCTTTGTCCCAGGATGTTGTCTGCCGAATGTCAGTCTTATGGATATAGAGGGGTCAGGGAGTTGCTTGAGGAGACAGTCTGTAGGAGCTCAAGTGCTGAGCTGTGAGCTCTGTTGTTCATTCAGGGCTGCTAGGCTGCTATGTGTAGTTCTGCTGCAACCTAACTCGTAAGAAAACCCCTTTTTTTTTTTTTCCTCAGATGCTCTGTTTGGGAGGGGGTTGGAGCTTTCCTTGTGAGTGCCCGCCTCATTGTCCTGCCCAGCTAGGAGGCAGTCTAGTCACTTTTTGCCTGCCGAGGCTCCGCCCTGCTGGTGTGAGGTTCGCCCTTTTCCTGCAGGTTCCGCCCTTCTGCTGTGGTCTCCGCCCTGTTGCCAAGGGCTACGCCCTGCGCTGGAGTCTCTCTGTTGTACCGGGTTGCCTCGGCAGCGGCAGGCTGCGTCAGCAATGGGCGTGTACCTCAGTAGGGGCTGATTGCCTCAGTAATGGCTGACGCCCCTCCCCTGCGGAGCTGCGCTTTAAAAAAAACCTATTCACCGGGAGCGTTTGGAATCGCCGTTTTGTTTGTCGCACTGCGCTCCCCCAAACGCTGAGTCCCTGGCATTTCCTGGGCTGGGTCACCGTTCAAGACCCGTTCAGTCTCAAGTTCAGCCCTCTCGGGTCTTAGTTTGCCGGTTCAACAGGGCACCCGTAACAGTGCGCTTTTGTATGGAGTACTGTGGAGCGCCTCTGTGCTCCGGCGCGGGCCGGAGCCGCACCGGCTGCCGGCTACCGGCTACCCCAGCGGAGACCTCTGCCTGGTGTCCCGCGTCTCTTTTATACCTGGGAATTTCCCCGTTCTGTGGGCAACTAAGATCCGTCTGGAAATGCTTCCCCGACTCACCCTCTCCGTGCGTCCAGCGAGAGCTTCAATCCTGGGTTGTTCTCACCGTGCCATCTTGAGTCCTCCCCGTATATTTCTTATAGTAACCACAAAATGAAATGCTTGGGGGAAAAATCCAATGCAAAGTAAATAAATACAGGAAAGAGTTCAGGGACCCCACAGGCTAAATGATTCTCATGAGAGTGACATGAAAGCCCCATACTTCTGTGTCTGTTGGCTGAGTTCCAAGCTAAGAGCAAAATCTGAAAGATGTGGGGGTTGGGGAGGGCCGTAGAGAGTGAGAAAGGACCTTGATGATTGTTCTGTGTCTTCCTCCCCTATCTGCCCTGTCCCCAGCAAACCAAGAGAGTCGTTTCTGTGCAGCACTGACATTCCCAGGGGCACCACCTGCCCACCCACCCTGAGCATCCCTCTGCTCAGCCTGCTGGAGCCAGGCTTTCCAGGTCATGCAGTCTTGGACAGGTCAAGTGGGGCAAAGGCAATGCCAAGGAAGATGCTGTGTCCCTTCTGACAGGTAAGAAAAGGGCTTCAGAAAGTTGCATGGCAAGAAAAATCCCCAGGCCTGAGGCAACCAGAAGGTGTCAGCAGCTCTTGCTGCTTCCAGGTCCTGGAGACAGAGAGCCCACAGCTCCAGGCATCCCACTGCAAAGAGTCCACAGAGACCCCTGCAGTAGTTGGTGCCTCCCCCAGGGACTCCCATATTCTGACTTTTTTTTTTCTTTGAGACGGAGTTTCACTCTTGCTACCCAGGCTGGAGTGCAATGGTGCGATCTCAGCTCACGGCAACCTCTGCCTCCTGAGTTCAGGCAATTCTCCTGCCTCAGCCTCCTGAGTAGCTGGGATTACAGGCACGTGCCACCATGCCCAGATAATTTTTTGTATTTTTAGTAGAGACAGGGTTTCACCATGTTGACCAGGATGGTCTCCATCTCTTGACCTCACGATCCACCCTCCTAGGCCTCCCAAAGTGTTGGGATTACAGGCGTGAGCCACCGTGCCCGGCCCTCTGTCCTCTTTTAATCTCCTTGAGAGGATATCACTATGTGAGTTTGAACAATCAAAGCAGGGAGAGACAGAATGAGATCCTGTCTATTGGGAGAATCAGGAAATGGCTCAGCTTGGGGTTCTGACTTTTCTTTGCAGCTTTTGCTTTTTGTTTTTACTTCTATTTATTTGTTTATTTTCCAAACAGACTAGGAGTCTAGGCGCTATCGCATGACTTGCCAATTTTGGGGAAGTGGGAAGTGGAGCAGGTCTCAGCTCAGACCTACTTGGGATCATCCACCACTAGCCTCATGGAAACCCTGGCCTGGGGCTTTGAAATGGCACTGTGACATCTTAGAACTCAGTGTGAAAAGGAGTTCATCCAGATTGGTTTATCCTGATACAGGTCACAAAGACCTCGCTGATAAAACAGGTAAAGAAGCTGGCCATAATCTTCCAAAACCAAGATGGCGATGGAAGTGACCTCTGGTCATCCTCACTGTTCATTATACACTAATTATAATATATTGACGTGCTAAGAGACACTCCCACTAGCACCATGACAGTTTACAAATGCCATGGTAATGCCTGGAAGCTACACCATATGGTCTGGAAGTGGAAAGAACCCTCAGTTCTGGGAATTCCAGGAAAATTCATGAATAATCCACCCCTTATTCACCATATGATCAAGAAATAACCATAAAATAGCCAACTATCAGTGCTTAAGGCTACTCTGCCTATGAAGTAGCCACCCTGTTATTACTTTGCTTTCTGAATAAGGCTGCTTTCATTTTACTCTATCTGCTCACTTTTGAATTCCTTCCTGTGTGAAGCCAAGAACCCACCATGTGGCCTCCCAGGCTGCACCCCAAATTTGGGATTCACCCTGTAATATCTTTTCTGGTGATTATTAAGGGATGATGGAGACCTCTCTCTACCTCAAATTAAGAATGATCAGCACCAGGCCAGGCATGGTGGCTCATGCCCGTAATCCCAGCACTTTGGGATGCTGAGGCAGGTGGATCACCTGAGGTGGGGAGTTCAAGAGCAGCCTGACCAACATGGTGAAACCCTGTCTCTAAAAAAAAAAAAAAAAAGAAAAGAAGAAAAAAAGACTGATCAGCACCATTTGGACCTGACAGGTGGTGGGTCCCTTCTGTCCAGATTCAATTCCCTACCTTTCTTTCCCCTTCAATTTTGGCTTCTCTCTTCCTTCATATATTCTTTATTTTGTACAGTTGGAGAAGTGGCCATGAGACCTCTGCTGGGGAAGCCTGACTGCAGTCTCCCATTGCCTGGTGCCCTGGACAGGAACCTGCCTGGCTGGCCACATCTTTTGTAACCCACCTGGTTGCCCCTTCTCTTAAACCCAACCGGCTGTTTTACTTTTCTGCTTTTAGAGCTGAAATGCATGTGCATGTTTATTCCATTGTTGCATTTGTAGTCTCTGGGTTGGCCATTTGGGCAGTTGTCTCTACTCTATGTGAGGCAGGGCACTTTCCTTGATTTTTTGAATTTTTGCCCTTTGTCATTTTGAGAGATCACCTATTGTGCTGATTCTGGGATTCCAGGGTCACTTTATTTTGTGGTCCCAAATATGTTTGGTCTTCTGCCTTCCCTACATTCCAGCCCTTCTGCACCCAGCCTCCACCCCGCTGCGTTTTCTTTTTTAACTCTGGTCCCAAACATTTGTATAGTTTGGCTGCTTAACCTAACCACATCTCATTCCATATGTCTTTTCTCTGTACCCTCAGTTCATTAATCAACAATACTGATTATTAATTACATTGATAGACCATCTTTACTGACTGTAAACACTAAAGTTGTTTTCTCCATAGAGGGATGTATTGTATTTGAACTATTCATCATTCAAGAAAAATCCTTGTTTGTGAAGTGAGCTTTTTTATGATAGGGGAAAATTAATGAGACTGTAAAAACAATTATTTTTTCTCTTTTTTTTTGGAGATATGTTAAGTTTTGCAGCCTGGAAAGTGACTTAAATATAATAAACTGCCTTGCTGCTGCTGGTCATCTAGGCAGTCTCAGGTTCTGAAGGGGAGAAGGCAAAGGCATTGGGGTTCACTGTTAACCACCCTCTGGATGCTCTGGGATTTTTCAGTATTCTGGATGAAGACTCTCATTGGCTGATACCTGGGAAATCAGTATTTTTTTTTTTAGCATTTGGTACTGTTGGCCACCCCCTGGATGATCTGGGATGTTGAGCATTGACATTCCTTCTAGGATTGTGGAATAGAGTCCCATCCTAGGGTAATCATGGTCTTTCCTTTTATATTGTGCCCTAAAGTTATCATTTTCTCAAAAGCATTTTCTTTGCTTAATGTCACTTAACACTTTGGTACAGGAGATGAGAATTTGCAGGGGAAAATAACTGGGCTCTTGCTACACTGAGAAAACTTTTGTGTCTAGTAGAGATCCTTGTTAGACAATGGCACATCTTTGTTGATATATGTGTATACATGTCTAGATGTGTTTATGTGTATGTACATTTATTATGTTATATATTGTGTGTATGGAGTGCCAAACTGGCTTATTAACAAAAGAGCACTCATAAGTTCAATAAATAAGTCTAAGCATTTTTCAAGTTCATGTCACTTAAGTTCACTAAAATTTAGGGTTACTAAAAATTTGTATGCAATTCTGTAAATAAAATGTGCCAAAGAAGATATCCTCTTATTGAAAAAAAATTTGACCAATTCAAACTTATTTAAAGTGGGGGTTTTAAATGTGGATTTAGGAAGATGATGTGAAGACAGTTATAAATATGAGGACGTATTTTTGGTAATAAAAGAAATTTTATGTGAGAAAGAATCTTACATAGTATGGTCTTGTCCTAAAATAGAATGATTGATTATTTAGGAAAGAGGGAAATATAGGCCAAAGTCCAAGCATCTTATAGATGGTCTGTGTAAGTCATGATAAGGTTCATAAAAGGAAATTTATTAACAATTTTGTAAATAAATTAACCATAACTGAAAGAAAATTTATTTATAATTGTCTATGTAAATGTTGGTTCCCTGTATTTAAAAAGTTGTTTCTTGTAAGTATAAGTTTGCTTTCAGTAAAATTGCCAGAAATACTGACTTTTAATTATAAAATCTATTTCAAGACTTCTCATACATAGATATCTGTTCCTTTCCCCTTGAAAGGTTACATCTTTTGCAAGCTCAAAGATGACTACTGTAGATTCCTCCTGGGAAAAACAATATGGTGCTCACTTCATGCTGTAATTGAGTAAGGCTTTGATCCTCCATGGTGATGGCTTAGGGAATGAGTTTCTGGTTTGATACTTGTGGGACTTCTGCCATTTATTTATTCTTTTTCCTCCCATGGCCAGCTTATTGCAAGGGTATTCCCTCAAGGATGGTGGGCAACCCAAAACCGATTAGCTTGATTAACCAAGTCTAATTTCCTGACTGCAATTTTCTTTGAGCTACTATAGGGATGATTCTAGATCCTATAAAAAATCACTCACCATCTCTTTGGAGGAAACTTATGTGTCCATGATTAAGTTGTAACCTTAGTAAAGGTTTATTGGTTTCACTTGAGAAAATACCTTTGCAGGAAGAAAAAGGTTTAAAAGCTAGAGGTTTCAGCTCTGTCCTGGATTGAGTCTGGTATTAAGATATTTAAAATAATTTTTTAAAAAGAACTCTATGGTTAAAAGTCAACTTAATTAAAAATGAAGATCCAAGCTATGTATATTTATTTATTTATTTATTTATTTAATTTTTTTGAGACAGAGTCTCACTCTGTCACCAGGCACCAGGCTGGAGTGCAGTGGCACAATCTTGGCTCACTGCAACCTCCGCCTCCCAGGTTCAAGTAATTCGCCTGCCTCAGCCTCCTAAGTAGCTGGGACTACAAGTGCATGCCACCACACCCAGCTAATTTTTTTTGTATTTAGTAGAGACAGAGTTTCACCATGTTGGCCAGGATGGTCTCAATCTCTTGACCTCATAATCCGCCTGCCTTGGCCTCCCAAAGTGCTGGGATTACAGGCTGAGCCACCGTGCCTGGCCTCCAAGCTATGTATATTTAAAAGACTGTATGCTTTTTCTATTTTGGGATCTTGGGTTTTTGGAAGATAAAGTGGGTTTCTTTGGGTGTTTCTTCTAAGTTGACTATATTATTTCTCCAGAACAATTTTCTGTGGATGACAGAAGTTGTAGGACAGCCACAGTTGACACAATTAATAAGGAAATTGTTGTCTTGTTGTAATCCTTTTCAAAAGGTGGTTTACAATCAGCTATAGGACTCTGATGAGTATTGATAAATGCAGGTCTCTGACAGCTTTAAAAATTGTGCCATTGAGCCAGGTGTGGTGGCTCATGCCTGGATTCTCAGCACTTTGAAAGTCCAAGGCAGGCAGATCGCTTGAGCTTAAGAGTTCCAGACCAGCCTCGGCAACATGGTGAAACCCTGTCTCCACAAAAAATACAAAAATTAATCACATGTGGTGGCATGTGCCTGTAGTCCCAACTACTCAGGAGGATGATATGTGAGGATCACTTGAGCCTGGAATGCAGAAGTTGCAGTGAGCTGAGATTACACCACTGCACTTGAGCCTGGGCAACATGAGTGAGACCCTGTCTCCAACAAAAAAAGAAAAAGAAAGAAAAAATTAAATTAAATTAAAAAATGGTACTGTTAAAACAGAAGAAAAAACTTCCAAGACTGTTGTAGAAAGCTAATATATTCATAGACTATGGCTCAATATCTATGCTATAAAGAGTTAATAGCATAGACTAAACTAATAAAAATGTAATCTTTTTGTGATTTTTTGCTTTGAATGTTTCTGATTCCTTCTGTTGTTTTTCAGAGTCAAGAAAACTTGTTTTTCTTCTGAACTATTTACAGCTCTTAGCACTTGAATAAAGTATAGTCCTGTAAGCAAAATTTGGAGCATATTTCTTTCTGTCTACCTGATTTATTTAGAATTTGGAAACTATTTCTGAGTACTCTTAGCTTATGGCAATATAGTTATTTGCACAAGTACAATAGAAATCTGTTTTATTTTGTAATAAAACACAGTTAGAGACATTGGTTATTTTACCAAGGCTTTGACTGGAATGGCATGGTTTTAACTATAAACAAATTGCTTTATGCAATCAAAGTTGACATCTAAGGCCAATAAAAGCCATTTAGAAAAACTGGCCACATGCCTTATCTATTCAGTACCTGTACAGGGTTCCTGGACCTGTGGTAAATAAAGAATGTCACTTTCTGACAGGCCCAGGAGCCTCCATTTATCTTGGGACCTCAAGAGGAGAGGAATTCACCCAACTCATGCAGATGCTTCCAAGCGCAGATAAATCTGAGGCTTCTACAGGACAGATTTTCATACTGTCACAGAGTAGCTACAAAGATAGGAAAACCTGCCAAAATTATTAGATCAGGGAGCAAGAGATTATCTATGCCTCTATGTGGCTGAGCTCAAAGAAAAAAGCAATTTCTGTCAAAATACATTTAAAGAGGTTTATCCTTAGCCAATATGAGTGACTGCAACCTGGGGTTACACAATCTCAAGAGGTCCTGAGAAAGCATGCCTAAAATGGTGAGGTTACAGTTTGCTTTATACATTTCAGGGAGACAGGAATTGCATGTAAAGTCATAAATAAATATATGGATGGTACACATTGGTTCATTTCAAAAAGGCAGAACATCTACAGGGGGAGAGGGGCAGTGCTTTCGAGTCACAGGTGGGTTTTGAGGATTTTTAAATTTTTTTTTAGATGGAGTCTCACACTGTTGCCTGGGCTGGAGTCCATTGGTGCAGTCTCAGCTCACTGCAGCCCCTGCCTCCCAAGTTAAAGTGATTCTCCCGCCTCAGCCTCCTGAGTAGCTGGGATTACAGGTGCCTGCCACCATGCCCAGCTAATTTTTTGTATTTGTAGTAGATACAGGGTTTCACTATGTTTACCACGCTGGTCTTGAACTCCTGACCTCATGATCTGCCCACCTTGGCCTCCCAAAGTGCTGGGGTTACAGGCATAAGCCACTGTGCCAGCCAGGGTATTCTTTAGTGGACAGTTGGTTGAGAGAGTTAAGCTATTATCTAAAGACTTGAAGTCACTAGGAAGTAATACCTGAGTTAAGGTAAGTGGGCTATGGGGCCAAGGTTCTTGTTATGTAGATGAAGCCTCACAGGTGGCATCCCTGAGAAAGGATAAATGGTGAATATCTCTTATGAGACCTTAAAATACATCAGGCTCTCTTAAATCTAGGAAAGGCCTAGAAAGGGAAGGCCTGGCTGCATGAATGGAGATTCTCTACAGATGCAAATTTCCCACAAAAGATGGTTTGCAGGGCCATTTCAAAATATAGAAAAAAAATTATTTTCAGGTTAAATACTTTTATTTCCTTCAGGGTCTGCTCTCTGTCATGTGATGCTATACCAGAGTCAGGTTGGAAAGTAAGTCACATTGTACCAGATTAATACGAATCTGCATAACTAGATGTTATGGTTTGTAGGGCATGACTCCTCAGGTCCCTCAGGTGAGAATTTGGGCAAGAAAAAAAAAGACTTTAGTCCTGTTCATGAAAAGAGTCAAGCTCTGTAAAGTATTTAAAGAATTTATTCTGAGCCAAATATGAGTGACCAATGGCCTGCGACACAGCCCCAGGAGATCCTGAGAACATGCGTCCAAGGTGGTTGGGATGCAGTGTGGTATTTTATTTATTTAATTTGTAAATTTTATTATTTATTTCTTTTGAGATGGAGTTTCACTCTTGCTGCCCAGACTGGAGTGCAATGGCTCCATCTCAGCTCACTGCAACCTCTGCCTCCTGGGTTCACACGATTCTCCCACCTCAGCTTGCCAAGTAGCTGGAATGACAGGCAGTTTTAAGCTTACGTAAATTGAGCAGAATGCATACAGAGGTTCTAAGAATTCTCAGACTGTGGTCACCCAGTTTTCTTATTGTTAGCATCTTGCATTGGAGTGGTATGTTCATTATAACGGACAAATAATAGTTGTTATTAACTAAAATCTAAAACCTACATTAGGGTTCAGCTTTGCATTGTGCACTCTAAGAGTTCTGAGAAACGCATAATGTCTCATATCCACCATTATGTGCCCTACAGAATGTTCTGCATAAAAATCCCATGTCTCACCAATTTATCCCTTCTCTCCAACACTGATTTTAAGAAAGGAAACTCTGTTGATGGAGGAACTGCTGAGGGATTCACTGCATCAGGTGATTTAAGCTGCTCCATGATGCTCACACTAACTTGTTCACACACAGTGCCACTTGTATTTTTGATTTTGGGATAAATCCCATAATATAATGGTAAATTTATTATCTTCTCCTCAAAATCTGCAGTTCCAGTGGAAGTCCTTTTTACCACTGATGTCTTCTTAGTGCAGGAGAGAGTCTACCCCCAGCCTGGCAGTGCTGCTCTGGGTGTTGGCTTTCTCAGCCTTGGGCCCCACACTGAGGTTACTGAAGACAGCCCCAAGGACTGAGTCAGGGAGACCCTGCCTTGGGACGTAGTTAGAGAGCCCACCCCAGACACAGCTCTGTGGATTCCCAGTAGGCCCTCTCCTGGAGGAAGGAGGCCCTGCTACTCACTCAAAAAGCGGCAATCATTTCACTGGGGAGGGAAGAAAATGCTCCCAGGGATAGAGTTAGATTTGCCATAAATAAGATTATGTGGCAGGAAGGAGAAAGCACCCATCTCCTCCTTCAGCCCTCTAGTCTGCCAGAGAAGGAACGTTGTATTGAGGTCACAAGAGGCTTGGAAGAGTCATCAAAACTCATTCCTCAGTATCTCAGCTCTTTGTGGTCAGGGTCTGTGAGGTCTCAGCATCTGCCTCTCTCAAGGTTTCTCTTAAGGGACAGCAGGGTGAAAACTGCCACAGGAAGGGTAGGGAAGCTGATTTGCAGAAAGAAGGTTTTCCCCTGTTGGGTCTGGAGAGACATGAAAAGGCCCTGAGGACAAGAAACCCCAGTGAAGAAGCCTGAGGCCACCTAGCTCTTGTGACTGTACCCACCATGGCCTGCACGATGCTTCTCCTTGGGCTCCTTGCTTATGGGTCAGGTCAGGGGAAGGGACTCTGCATCCCTGGAGGGACCACACAAGCAGGGTCCAGGTTACCCTCATCCCTGTGACCATAACTATGTGTCTCCTGTTGGTTTTAGGAGTAGATTCTGTCTGTGGTGACCCAGGAGCCATCACTCTCAGGGTCTACTGGAGGGATGGTCACACTCACCTGTGGCCTGAGCTCCGGCTCAGTCCCTACCAGTCACTACCCCAGCTGGTACCAGCAGACCCCAGGCCAGGCTCCACACATGCTCATCTGCAGCCCAAACACCTGCCATTCTGGGGTCCCTGTTCACTTTTCTGGCTCCATTCTTGGGAGCAAAGTTGCCCTCCGTCACGGGGACTCTGTAGATGATGACTCTGATCATTACTGTGTGCCACACATGGGTAGTGGCAACTCCACAGTGATTTAAACTTATGAGCAGGTGTAACTAAAACCTCTTTACAACTTAGAATGATTCAGCCCTTAGAGGCAGGAGAGAAGGTGAAAGGGTGGGAATATCAACACCATGAGCAGGGTGCCTCCTTACCCCAGTCTCCTGTGCAGGGGTTCACTGCCAGGTGCTTCATCCAGTCTCTCCCAGGATGTGTCCACCTCCCCAGCTCACATGGCTCTATCTACCCTAGATACCGATGGCCATCACAGTCACCACTGAGCCACGCAGGGGGGCCTCCAATGCCTGGGTTTCACAGTGCTGCTGCCAGACCACCTACATGTGAGAATGGCTGACAAGCAGGAAGCCTTGGTAATGTCATCCTTGACCCAGCCAAGGCCACAGTCTCAGGCTCTGGCATCTGCTCCCCACTTCCACCCCTAGGAGTGTGGGCCATGGATGCTGCCCCAACCTGTAATATCACCTCACCCAGGAAGGCAGAGGTTAGGTGCAGGGACACCAGTGGTCCATGCCATTAGGGGGACTTCTAATGAATTTGCAGTAAAATATTTTATCTTCTAGGTAGAATATGTGACATTCTTAAACAAATGAATCTTCATTTTGAAATATCCTTATTCTTTTTGTTGATTCTGCTATTAAGTTTTGACAGTATTCCCAGCTAAATTTGTTCTCAACAGCTTTGTCAGCAGCCATCATGGGTGGTTCTAGATTAATATAGAAGTAGTCCTATTATCTCACCTTGAGGACTAATGCTTTTATTTATTCCTTATTTTTTTTAATGGCTCGTGGTTCTGGATGCCTCCTTCCTCCATTTGAGCAGCATCGCAGACAAAAAAAAAAAGGCTGCTGGACACCTCCTTTCCAGTGGTCCACATGACTGTGGATGAAGGCATAAGACAGTAAAGTCTTGGACAAACGTAAATCAGTTATGAGGCTAAACACTGATCCAGAACTATTTGAGGGTTACTTATGTTGATATGTTCAATATCACATTCCTTCCCAGAGGCCTTATCAAAGGTAAGTAGTGAGTTCGGTATGAAGACAGCAAATCAGGTGATACCTCAAATGGATTGGAATAAACCCCAGTCCTGAGGGACTTTATGAACAGCAACTAAATTTGAATTAACAGAATAGAGCACTTGACACAGAAAAATTCATGGCAAAAGAACTGAGGCTTTAGGACTCTGTCATTTGCTAATGAGAGCATTACATGGAGTCTTATTGAGAAACATCTATCCAGAATGTCCTATACTGGGACTGTGGCAGTGGAAAATTTAAGATATAGACCCACTCTAAAGGATTGGCTTCCCACTATCAGATTTCAGCTTATCATGACCCATGGAAAAAACAGCAGAGTTGAGGGCTCAATTTGTGAACTGGAACAGGAGCAAAAGCCTGGCTATTCAATATTAACAGGGTTGCAAGTCTGGCTTTGGAGCATGTTTAAAATATTGCAAAATGACAACGACATTGGAGTCTTGCATGGAACTGAGAATTGATAGAAAAAATAGCAAATAAATATAAAAAAGCACTGCTCTACAGTCCAAACAACCATAAATACTTGGCTGTATTCAAGAACTAAAAGAGTTTTCTCAAGCACCTCCTGATAAATTTGTGTCAGCTTTCACTGTTGGGACACCTGTATGGTGAATGGGGAAATGTCTTTTGAGCCTACTGCTGGAGCCATTGCTTCAGTGATGATTAGTAAAGATGATATCGGAACTATGCTTCAAGAACAGTAATGATGTCCTCAGATCACAAAATTTGATTACTGGAAAAATGTTTTTACTGCAGAAGCAGACTACCAGTGCCAGGTATGATGGCTCAGGCCTATAATCTGAGCACTTTGGGAGTCCAAGGTGAGAGGATCACTTGAGCCCAGGAGTTTGAGACCAGACTGGGCAACATAGTAAGACCTTATCTTAACCAGATATGGTGGTGCATGCCTGTGGTCCCAGCTACTTGGGAAGCTGAGGTGTGAGGATCAGTTGAGTTCAAGGAGTTGAGACCCTCGTGAGCCAAGATCGTACCACTGAACTCCAACCTGGGTGGCATAATAAAATCCTGTTTCAAAAAACAAAACCAAAAACAAACAAACAAACAAACAGAAAAGAAACCCCAGACTATCTGTCATTTACTACATTTTTTTGGTTATTGTTGGGACAAGTTGTCTCTGGCTCAAAGGTGACAGAGAAAGTGAGATTTACAATATCTTTCCATGAGAATCTGACACAAAAATTAGATGTTCACTTAAAAAATGAATAGACTCAACTGATTAAAATTGATACCTGTGAAATTTCCATATTGTATAGAATTGATAACCAAAAGTGCTGACACATTTTAAATTTCGAGAGACAGTCTTAAATAAATGATGAATTGTTTAGAATTTGAAATTTAACTGTAAAAGTGCTTTTTCCTTCCCTTTACTCCTAAATTTATGGAATTGTCAGACAAAACATGTATCATTTCATTAGTGCATATTTTTATAGTACTTAAAAATCAAGATTTTGAAATAAGTTGAAGATGATGGAGAATGTTAGGAAATCTTGATATTGCCCTAATTGAAACAGGCAAATAAATAAGCTTTATATGTGCTAAGAAATCTATAATTTAAGAACACAGTATTTTATGACTTTTTTCATTTCAAAATGTTAAATCATTTAAAAATTATAGATGAATATTTTCATTTGATTTTAATTCTGGTAATTTCAACAATGAAACACATATATCTGAAAACAATGATAATGCTGTTCCAAATGTATTAATTATGTAATAGCTGTTTCAAGTCAGACAATTTTTTAAAAATCAAAACCACATTGAGATACCATCTCACTCCAGTTAGAATGGCGATCATTAAAAAATCTGGAGACAACAGATGCTGGAGAGGATGTGGAGAAAAAGGAACACTTTTACACTGTTGGTGGGAGTGTAAATTAGTTCAACCATTGTGGAAGACAGTGTGGCGATTCCTCAAGGCCTTAGAAATAGAAATTCCATTTGACCCAGCAATCCCATTACTGGGTATATATCCAAAAGACTATAAATCGTTCTACTATAAGGACACATGTACATGAATGTTCATTGCAGCACTGTTTACAATAGCAAAGACCTGGAATCAACCCAAATGCCCATTGATAATAGACTGGATTGGAAAAATGTGGCACATATACACCATGGAATATTATGCAGCAATCAGAAATGATGAGTTTGTGTCGTTTGTAGGGACATGGATGAATCTGGAGAACGTCATCCTCAGCAAACTGACACAAGAACAGAAAATGAAACACCGCATATTCTCACTCATAGGTGGGTGATGAGAAATGAGAACACATGGACACAGAAAGGGGAGTACTAAACACTGGGGTCTATTGGGGGGAAAAGGGGAGGGCCAGTGGGAGGGGGAGGTGGGGAGGGATAGCCTGGGGAGAAATGCCAAATGTGGGTGAAGGGGAGAAGAAAAGCAAAGCACACTGCCATGTGTGTACCTACACAACTGTCTTGCATGCTCTGCTCATGTACCCCAAAACCTAAAATCCAATAAAAAGTTAAAAAAAAAACAAACAAAACTTTGCATATACTGGCAATGAATATAAAATAATAAATAAAACCATTATCATTCTGTGCAAAAAAAAAATGACTTGAGTCTAATTGGTTTCTTCTATCTTTAAAACTCTCTAACATAGATTCAAAGATGAAAATGATAAATTGCTTAGACATTTTGTATTATGAGTTCAGTAACATTGTAAAAAAGTAGATTAATCTAAGGTTAGGGGTATTGTCAGAAAGAGAATGCATTCTTTGGTAAATCTGTGAAACAGTAGTTTTGGAATTGACTTATATAGCATCCTGGTGGGTTAAAATTAGTTTATATTATAAATATTACATATGAGGCTTGAAGAATAAAGTGTTATTGTTTTTCTTTTTTTTCCCTTTATGAGAATTTATTTACTTTTGGAGGAAAATACTTTTGTTGAACTCTTGATCTACTTATGATAAGTAATCCTAGAATGTTTGGGGAAAGCTCCTTTTGTTGTACACTAAAACAGTTGCTATTCTCATGACATGTATTTAAGATGTTTTTTTGACTTGCAGGAAAAAACATTTGTTCAATTATTAACAAATATTTATTGAATATCTCTGCTCTGTGCCATGTACTCCTGTGTCAGGTACTAGCTACAGGTTGGTGAATAAAACAGACTCTCTCCTTATAGAAATTGTGTACAGTGAGCATAGAAGTAGATTCTGTGAGGGCTGCAATGGAGAGTTAAATTGAGCTCTCTTAGATTTGCCAACATGTAACATGTTGTTCTTACCAATTTCTTATTTTAAAATAAATGTTAATATACAAAGATAATCTAGGTTTTAATGTATATTCAGAAATATATATTTTTCTTAGTTAAGATTATCTACACAAACACAGCAAATAATTTATAGTATGTATCAGATATAAATAATATAAAAGTAAATGAAGTGTTTTACCAGAGCTTGATCTAGTTTCTGATTTGATATTTTAATGACATACATAAAATATCACTTTATAAAGAAGTGTTGTTCCACACTATAGAAACTTGCCTAACGGGTTTAAAATATCTTCTTGAAAAAATACCAACACCATCTTTAATCTGAAGGAAATCCGATTGTCCAAATACATCTGTTAAGATGTAACATACGAATAGGTAACACACTGTGTAAGATTACTTATAAGACATATTTTAAAGATTTTAAAAATACTTAATGTACTCACTTTGTGCTGTAACTTCTAACATTTCTGCTCTGTGGTGGTGACTTGTAAGAAATGAGAGGTGGCAAGGCACAGGTGCAGACTGTTTTTGGGTGGGTCAGCTGACCCTAGGGTCCCTTGAGCTGATTTAGGCCACTTGCCTTGGTCTCAGAAACACCGCTGTCATGGCTAGTCAGTCACAGGGGACTGAGAAGCAGGCTGTTGAGAAGGTGTCAGAGGCCTGCAGCCAAAAGAACCAGAGGCTGAAGCAGGCCAAAGTGGCAGCTCAGGCTGAAATTGAACAGTGCCACCTGCAGAAAGAGAATGAGTTCAAGGCCAAGGAAGCTGTGGTGCTGGGATCCTGAGGCAGCTGCAGCATGGAAGTGGAGGAGACTCAGGATAAGGTGACTATCCTCCAGACCTACTTCCAGCAGAACAGGTAAGAGGACATGGATAACTTCTTGGCTTCTGTCTGTGACATCCGGCTGGAAATCCATTAAAACTACGGCATAAATGAATACGATGAGAAGCGCCTGCTCCATGGACTAGCATTTTAGCTGCCCTCATGGAATAAGAAACTTCAGCAAAGCTCGAGTTATATTCTGATGAGAAGGCATTTAATTATTTCTGTACATTGTATATTTGGTCTCTTCACTTTATGAAGAGCAGCAAACCCAGCTTCTTGTGCAGACATATAGCTAAATATGTCATCCTTTTACTTCATGTTTCTTAGGAATCTAATGGTTATGTGCTGTCTGTTTTCCTATGCCTTTTGGCTCAAGTAACATATAGCAGTGTTGACTTTTTCTTTTTTTAGATCTAGTAAAACAACAAGAAAACAATCTTTGAAGAAAGGAAGGAATTAAATATTTTTCCTCTAATGCTTTCTTGAAGGTCAAGGACTTTATCAATGAAAAAGTGGTAAATAGTTATTTGTTACCTGTGTGAAGCAGCAGCCAGCCCTAAAGGGGTCCATTCCTTCCAAAGCTTAGAACAGTGACTACTATTGTAATTGCTCAGGCTTCTGTTAGTTGCTCTTAATAAAAATTACTATATGATAGAAGTCATATTACTTGATGTACTGAAGATAATTTAAAAGTAAAGACTCTGTTGTGCAAAAAAGGAAGAAATGAGAGGCAAAGAATGTTAAAAATAGCAAAAATGTTTTTATGAGAGAGTTAACCTTTTTTTTTTTTTTGAGATGGAGTCTTGCTGTTGGCCCCCTGGGCTGGAGTGCAATGGCATGATCTTGGCTCACTGCAACCTCCACTTCCCAGCTTCCAGCAATTCTCCTGCCTCAGCCTCCCGAGTAGCTTAGATTGCAGGGGCCCACCACCATGCTCGGCTAACATTTGTGTTTTTAGTAGAAATGGAGTTTCACCATGGTAGCCAGGCTGGTCTCAAACTCCTGGCCTCAGATGATCCACCTACCTCGGCTTCCCAACGTTCTGGGATTACAGGTGTGAGCCACCATGACCGGCCAAGAGTTAATCTTTTGATGGCAACTATATGTGAATAAAATTAAACCATCACAAAATATTCATTAGAATAAATAATAAAATAACCAAATTCATAATTAATAAAATATATTGTTGGTTTTTGTTATATTACTTTTTATTCATATTAGAATTTCTGTCAGTGTTTGAACATTAATATTTAGAGAGTTTGTACATTTTCACCTTTTAAGGTTTAAAATGAGAACCACACTACATCACAAAAGGTAACTAATAAACATTTCACAATTATGTGAATATCCACTCACTCTCTCTCTCTCTCTCTCTCTTTTTTTTTTTTAAGACAGAGTCTCCTTCTGTCTCCAGGCTGGAGTGTAGTGGCACAATTTCGGCTCACTGCAACCTCTGCCTCCGGGGTTCAAGTGATTCTCCTGCCTCAGCCTACAGAGTAGGTGGGACTACAGGTGCATGCCACCATGCCCAGCTAATTTTTTTTGTATTTTTAGTAAAGACAGGCTTTCACCATGTTGGCCAGGATGGTCTTGATCTCCTGACCTTGTGATCTGCCCGCCACAGCCTCTCAAAGTGCTGGAATTACAGGCGTGAGCCCCTGAGCCTGGCCACTCTCACTCTCTTAATACTGTTAAACAATTTCTTTCCTTACTGTAATTTAGAGTGAAGTATGCCCCACTCATGTCTCAGCAGTCTCAGATGTTATGGATTCAACACATGTATATTCTTTTAAAATATACTTCTGTCAGAAGAGTTGATAACTACTATGTACACTACAAACATAAATTTTACATAAATTATATGGCATATTTTTATCATTGTAATTGAAAGAACATAAATTCACTTACACCAAAATTGGCAATAAGAACCAGTTTGAATATTTATTTCTTTTAAACTCTTTACCCTTTAGGGTTTTAACCAACCAAGAGTCCTTAATGTAAATGTTATATACTCCAAACTATGTAACATTAGTAAGCACCCTATACAAATAAAACTTCTGTTCAAAAGTAAAACAGAGCTGTAGTAGGGTTTCCAACAGAAATAAAATCCCTGTATTTGTGGTTATAAACTGGAATGACAAATACCATAGAAGAAAACATTCTTATGATACAAATTAAAAATAACAGCAATGTTTTTAAAATCAAAACATCCACATGAACAAACAAGACAGATAAAATAAAACTATTAAAAAAGGAGAGAAAAATTATAATTACCTGTTAGCCCCCAGTTCTCCGTTTGTCAATGTGACTATTGGAGAAAATTCCACACCTTGCAGAAATTAGGGGACCACAAAGGCTCTGGTGTACCACAAGCTGGGCTCAGAAAAGGAGCAAGGGCATACCAGGAGCCAGAGGGAAGTCGACTTCAGAATTCTGCATCATGTCTTTTTGACACAGGACATACATTTTCTGGGCAGTGGTCACTATGATGTAGGTATTCCTGGAGGCCCATTGCCCTTCCTTAAGATTTCCCACATAATTTAAGAGAGAGTAACAGGAACTGCCACTTGTGAGTGCCACACAGGAGCTCAGGCTTCAGCCCTGCAGCGACTCTGCCCTTTCCTCTGACTTCTTGTCTGCAACAAGGTGCTGGTGTTGATTTGGATGGGGAGCCAGACACTGGGTGCTTCCCTGACATGTGCTGGTCTCTGGCTAAGAGGTTGAGGGAGCCCAAATCTCACAGCAAAAGAAGAGCGGTATAGAAGCAACTTTTTGAAAATATGCCTGGTTGAGAGCTCTGCCTCCGCCTACATCCTTCAGTGGGGTGTATGCCATCCTCCTGCTTTTCCACATCACACTGAAGGAGCGCTGTTGATGGGGAGGACTGAGACAATGATGGTTCATTTAGGAAGTGTGCATTCCAACACTGATGCCTTGAGGAGAATCCTTCCCGAGGTCGTATCTCACAGAATGCCTCCTCTGGATCACCGCAATGCATGCCCACCATTTACTTTTAAAGAAAATGTAAACAGATCCAGAAAGTCCCCGTGAGCCGTTCCATTTACTAAGACGGAGTTTAAATCCCAGGAACTCAAAACATCACTTCTGGGTTTATTGTGGGCCAAGGAAAACGGAACAGGTTTTTATACCTGGGCCATGGTCTCCAAAAGATTTGCAATCTACTCTTAAATTTGGGGGTGTTGGGGGACGGGTCATGTGTGTGTTGGTTGTGAGAGGGACAAAATATTACATGCTTTTTAGA